GCGCGCGCGGGTCCCCGCCCGGGCCGGCGCTGTCCCGGCCTCGCAATGACAGCTGCCGGGGCGCACGCGCGCGTGGGACCCGCCACGTGACCCGCGGAGCGGGTTAACCCGGGAGCGCGCGGGCGGCGCCGCGGGTTCTTCCGGGAGGAACTGCGAGTAGGAGCGCGTGCCTCCCGCCCGCCCCGGCGGAGCTGTAGAGGGCCCGCCCGCCGCCGAGCCACCTGTGCGCTTTCCCCGCCACCGCCGAGCCACCTGTGCCCTTCCCCCGCCACCGCCGAGCCACCTGTGCCCTTCCCCCGCCGCCGCACCCGCCGCAACACACCCGGCGGAAACGCAAGCCCGAAGGTTCCGAGCAAAGTCGGTCTGTGACAGAATCACCTAATCATTTGGGTTGGAAACGACCTGAAATCGTCGAGTCCAGCCTATGACCGAGCACCACCGTGTCAACTAGACCAAGGCACTAAGTGCCACATCCCGTCCTTCCTTAACACCTGCAGGGCCTGTAACTCCACCACTTCCCTGGGCAGTCCGTTCCAATGCCTGATCACTTTCTGTGAACAAATTCATGCCAAGTTCCTTCTACTATAACCTCAGTAACACTGAACAAGCAGGACTTTTCAGGTCCATAGGAATGGTGAATCTCTTAGAGCAAGCCACAAGGTCGAATTGGTTATCCTAATTAATCTCCTTTGAACCGCCGTGTCCCATATCAGTCAATACTGCTGTATGAAAGTGATTTTGTTTGCAAAACTAATGTTGCTTTTGGTGACAAAGGCCCACAATGCTCAATGTGTTTGTGTTTACGTTCTGAAGTGCCATGGTACAGTATAATTTTGACTGTTCAGATTGTTGATAAAATAAATCAGTCTATGGTTTAATCACTGTGTGATATGCTTTGACTTTTCTTCTCATCAGTAATCTCTCTTAATCTTTCATTTAGGCTTCTGGTTGCTATGTTCAAGAAAATAGTGAAAAGAGACCAAAGATAACTGAAAGACAAGTCCTTTTCAGTCCTTCTTCAAGCATACCTACTATGTTAAAAAAACCTTTATACTTCAGTATATCTTTGAGCACCAAAACTTTCTTCAATATTAAAGGAACCTGAAAATACCAAAATTTTAATTGATTTTTTTAAAAGGAACATTTATAATGCTGTAACTATGCTGTGCTCAGACACGTTCATGGTTTTTTGTCACTTGAAAACAGTACTACTTGTTAAGAATGCTCATGCAATTGTGTCTCTGAATATCTCTGTATGGCACTGCTATGTCCAGCAGTGTCTAAAATGAGTCATCCTCATCTGCGTAAGGAAAGAAATTTTGTTTCACTGGATATGAATAGGAGAAACAGAGGGAGTTTTTTACCTTCTTGCTCAAGCCTTTGGCAGGTGGAGTGTGTTAATGAAATGTTTGTTTAATGCTTACAGGAAAACAGTGCATGTTAATGTAGTTTCTCATTCAGTTTGTCTTCTCCTTGATGATTCATATACAAAGCACAAAAGATTGATAATTTTGCATTGTTTTCAGATGTGATATCTAAGGCTCAAGGTAAGTACTTGTATAAGAGAAAGTAGAGCAGTAACTCTTGAAAGTGTTAAGTCAGCACCTCTCCTCATCTGTTCTTGTTTCAGGTTACAAGTCTTTGTGAGGCCCTTAAGTGCCTGGAGTGTATTACAGTATTGCCAAAGCATACACCTGTCAGTGCCACTGGCTCAGCAGTCCCAAGGGGTGAACTGAGGGTGCGCATGAATAGTCTGAGAGCATTAATCCTCATCGTGCTGTGGCTGTGGAAAATTATGCCTTGACATCACTCTTCAAAGCCAGTAGATCAGTATTTCTGTCTTGATAGATGGAAGTAAGAACACTGGCCTTCTTCAGAGTAGTTATATAGTTATGCATGTTCAATAGATCAGCATTTTGGCTTTATTAAGCTGCTCTGGCACAGTGCTTTCAGCACTCACTGATCACCTTCAGTGGGTTCATCTCAAAGCGCCTGTTAGTTGGCTGACATGTTCTAGCTGGCGTGAAGAATCTTTTTCTTACTGAGGTTTAAGTAAGCTTTTCTGCCTTTTATGTTTTGGACTGTGTCTTTAGGTTAGTGTTGGCTACTAACAAAAACCCTGGTCACGTGACCACAAGCACCAAAAGAAAAGGGTGTAACCTGTAAGTTCCCTTACTTGTGTTTTATGGTGATGCAATATCTAGGCAGCCAATCTTACCATCTGAGGAGATGAGGCTGCCTAGGTAATTTAACTGCTGGCCTGATTTGAGCTCTGATTGGCCAATGGTGATGTGGGGATGATGGGGGACTTCCTGAGGTGCAGGTAGATGGAGAACTTCTCTCTTCTTTAAGCTGACTTCCAGCCTAAAGAGCTCAGCAGCATCTGCAAAGCAGGATGTTAAACGCTGCAGGGCTGCTTCTGTGTGGGCAACAAGGGCGGCGTCATCAGCGTAAAGCAGCTCCCGGACAAGATGATTTAAGGTCTTGGTGTGGGCCTTCAGTCGCCTTAGCTTGAATAGGCTTCCATCAGTATGATATCGAATGTAGATACCGTCCTGATCATTGAGGTCTGCCGTGGCCCTTAGGAGCATCATACTAAAAAGATTGTGAATAGAGTTGGTGCCCGAACGCAGCCTTGTTTCACACCATTCTTTATTAGAAAGGGCTCAGAAAGTGTATTGCCATATCTGACTTGGCCGTGCTGATCCTCGTGGAGTGAGATGATCATTTTAAGGAACCTGGGAGATAGACAACAGGTTAGCAAAGGCATATAGTGCTTTTGGAAAACTCCACAAAAGAGTATGGTGTAATAAACACTTGAAGAAAAGTACCAAGATCAGTGTTTACAGAGCCATAGTGCTGTCTACTCTCTTATATGGTTCCGAATCATGGGTCATCTACCGCCACCACCTGCATCTCCTAGAACGCTTCCATCAATGCTGTCTCTGTAGAATCCTAAACATCCACTGGTCAGATTATGTGACCAATACATCTGTTCTAGAACAAGCAGTAGTCACAAGTATTGAGGCCATGTTGCTGAGAACACAGCTGCGATGGGCAGGGCACGTCTCAAGGATGAAGGACCACCACCTTTCCTAAGATCTTGCTTTATAGTGAACTTGCCACCGGCTGCCGCAAGAGAGGAGCCCTGAAGAAAAGATACAAGGACTCCCTGAAACAACATCTCAGCCTCGGCCGTATTGATCATCATAATTGGTCTACTCTGGCCTCAAATTGGGAGGCCTGGAGACACACCATCTATAACGCTGCTGCTTCTTTTGAGAAAGCACGCAGGATCACTCTTGAGGAGAAAAGACAACACAGAAAGAACCTTGTCTTGCAGAATATACCACCTAAGGAGTCTTTCTGCTGTGTCTTTTGCAATCGGATATGTCTATCTCGTATTGGCCTCATTAGCCACCAGCGTGCTTGTAACAAATGTGGATAGAGCCTTCCTAAATCTTTGTTCGCGAAGCCTAGCCATGATCTAGGCAGCACAATGTTCTGACCAAAAAATGGCCTTTCTGCTGTGTGATAGTGTATATTCTCTCTTTCTCCTCCTTTCCCAGAGTCAGAAGCCATTCCTGATTTGAGGAGTTGACATCTGTTTAAGTCACGAGTTTGTCTTCCATGACACCTCTGGGTCCCTGTTTCAGTGTTTTACCACTCATGGTGAAAATTTTTTCCTTTTTTCCTTATTATACCCTGAATTTCCTCTATTGCAGTTAATGTGTTTGTCTTGTCCTATCACTGTGTTTTTCCAAGGAGTCGGATAGTGTGGTCCAAGTTTCAATCCTATGTCTGCCAGAGGCAGTGAATCATTTTCCATGTCTTGGAGACTTTGTTGTTGCAGTTGTCTGAAGATAACATCACAGCACTGCTTCTCTCAGGAGAAGCAGCTTGCAAAGAAGGGCTGCTTGAGCCCCATCTTTTCTATCCCGTCCCACTGGGTAATTAATGGTGGACAGCAATAAGGTCACCCTGAAGCCTCGTCCTCTTAAAGCTGAATAAACGTAGCTCCTTCAGTCGCTCCTCATTGATGATATTCTCCAGCCCCTGACAACCTTGTGGCCTTCTCCTGGAAGTTTGGAAGTATGTCAATGTCTTTCATACACTGAGAAGCTGAAAACTGGATATTTCACATGTTATTTCACCCAAATTGGTGCAGAATATTTCATTTTGGTTTTGAATGTAGGTTACTTCCATATCATGTAGCAATAACAAAAACCTTTCCAGAATTTTAAGTAACATATTTGTTTAACATTGCATTAGCATAGCTATCTAAAGTAAGGTTACTTTTGAGGTATAGAACATTCACTTCTAGAATTCCACTGCAGTACTTCTTAAAATACATGAGATGGCAGCAAATACCAGAAAAAAAACAAAAGCGCACTTATGGCCCAGGGCAGAGAAGCTGTTGGCAATGAGACAGATTTTGCCCTGTTCCTGATACAATTGTCTAGGCTGTGCAGGTTGCTGCAAGTTCTGTTATACTGCATTGAGCTATAAATCAGGGCATGAGTGCTGGCTGTTTGAATGTAATACTGACTGAAATTTTCTGTAGCCTATATGTTTCATTAATATTATGCAGTTTGGCAATCTTATATAACAGAAGAAACAACTTTTTTTTTCTTTAACTTGTCAGTTTTTACATCTTTTTCATCGTGTTTTAAAAATTTTGTAGCAATATATAAGCTTCTAACTTTTAGTGTTATGGAAATTCATTCACTCATGGAACTTTGTAGCAGTTAAACATTTCTGTGACATGAAGATGAAGTTAAGCATATTTAAACTGGGAATGATGAACAGTAAAAACTCTAACAGGACAAACAGGGAGTTAGTTTACCCATGTATATAGTTGGTAGGTAGTGTCCTTCTGATAGTGTCATTATATCCAGATCAAAAGTCTTTCAGTACTTTGTCTCAGAACTTACTGGCTTGATGTAGAAATTCCCAGAATATCTATGCATCTCTTACAAAGGCCAGACTAGATAATCATAAATAGAACTTTCAAGTTGGGAATTCAGATTATTTGTTTTTAATGTATTTATTCTTGACATTTTATATTAAACATAGAGGAAACCTTATGGTATTTAATATGAATGACTTTCATTAAAAAGCTTACCTATGCAGACAGTGTTAATTTCAGCCAATAGCTTTTTCTGCTCAAAAAATATCAGGGTAAAATAGAGAGATTATGCCATATTGACTCTGCAGTGCAATAGGGCTGGAACAGTGCACTGCAAGTCTACTCAGGAATCAAGTCTCTGAGGCCCAAGTTTGGCCTCCCAGACAATTCAGCTGAGCAGTCAAAGGCTCATTATTTGGTGACACTAGATTTTTCTTTTGTTGTGTTCTTGCTGTCAGTTTTATGAAAAATGTAGGCTGATTTCCAGTAGTACTCGACAGATGGTCAAGAGTCTTAATTGTATGGTAGTATGAAAGGAATGAAAAATTAACAGTATGTAATCAGGTCACTTTTTCTCCCCTCTGTGTAAATGAAGTTGTGTTCCTTTCAGTACACTTTGTTGACTGACCTATATTTAATAGTGTTCTAGGTCAAAATTTCCACAATATCTGCCTGTTTTTCTCTTCAGTACCCATGTGATCTTACCGGGCTTCAATAGTTTTATATGCGTAAAAGACAATTCCAGGATGATGACAAGGTAAAGATGAATATTCAGACAAGGACAAAGAACACAGAATTTTTTCTTGGCTCCCCTGTAAATAGATAAAAGAATTCATGTACATAAACTTACCCTGAAAAGGATGCAAATACGTCTTGTGACTAAATACCTCACCCAGGTACTTTATACCTTCAATGAATTTGATTTGTTGATGCTACTATTCATTGAATGTAGAAAAGTCTTTCAATTTATAAATTAGGCATAGAGCCAAGATGTATCACACTTAAATAAAAGGTATATGTTACAGGAACCAAAACCTTTTTATTGGAAAAGTGATAGAGATGGCTACCGCTCTGAATTCAGGATGGTCAGAAGAAAAGAAATCTGCTTTAAAGCATTAAGCAGCCCAGAGAGGAGAAAGTTCTGCCTTATTAGTTTGGGGTTTTTTTCAGTCACTGGGTTGCCAGCATGTTGTCTTGCTGTATGCAGAAACTGTGCTTTATTTCAGAATGCAATAGGTGGCAATCTTTATCTTCTTTTTGTCTCATCCACAAGCAGTTAAGTTGTCTTTCTTCCCCACCCAAAAAAAGACTAATCTACTTAGACTGCAACAAAAGAAAGACAGTAAGGATTGGCTAAGTCAGTAATCAAACTGCTTGTGTTTAAACCATAAATTAAATCTCTGTAAACTGTCCTCTGAATCCACCCAGTCTCTGACAAACATGAGCCTGCAAACAAGTGGCATTTAACCATCACTGTCCCTTTTTTTTTTTTGCATTTGTCTAATTTCAGGGCTGAACTGAGAAAAATTAACTACATCCCTTTGTAAAGCCCTCATCCAGAAATGTATTCTGTCCTTTCTAACCGAGCAGGTGAATGAGAGAGGTTTTCTCATTGTTGTCTTCAGGAGTGTGTCTCTGCCCAAGAAAGGTAACAGAGCAGCAGAGAGGAAACAGTAGACACTAACTGGGCAAATACTGACTGCAGGATACCATTCTTAGAACCCCTTTATGTAATAATACGGGAGGTATTTCAAATAGCTCTACCTTCAAATCACAGAACAAGTATAAAGGAAAATTAACCAAGTGTTTACAGCCCAAAGCTTTGCCTCAGAATACTATTTTCTAGAATTTGCAACAGCTTTAAACTCTTCAGACACTGGAAATTAAATGCAAATTGTACTAACCAGGAGTTGCCACACTTTTCACTTTAATTCTACATTGTAGTATCTTATAGGGAGACATAAAAGGTTAGTTTTTGTAGAACAAAGGAGTTCAAAGCTAATATAAGTAAACATGCAGTAAAACTTTTAGCTAACTAAAGCTTACATATGTAGAATCCTTTAGTAAGTTGTGATTTGTCAGTAGTCAGAATTAACATTGAAATGGATGAATCTTCGTATATTTGAAGTTTTAATAATTCATAATTTTGAGAGTAATAATAATTTTGTAGTGTAACTAAACATTGAAATAAATTTTGACTTGATTTTCATTTGATAGTCCACAATTTGATTGCTTTATTTTCACTATAGAAGTCTAAGACTCCTTAAAAAGGATTTTTAAAATGTATTTTATTTTTATGAAATTCAAATCACTAATGCTGTCATGGTTTTGAGAAGCAACATGAGTATAGAACCCTTAAAGATCTTGAAACGTATCAAAAAAGCAACGCTTGAAGATGAGTATGTTTTTGGCCTCATACATGATTTAATTTGATGCAGCCTTTCTTGTGCTCAGACACATCCATTAATAGTGTTATACTAAAAGCTACAACATCAGAGTACCAGAGGAAGTAAAAAAATATTCTAAGTCACCTGACACATGACTGAATTTTTTTTAATGTTGTTTGTTCTGGCTGTAAAACAATGAAGAATAGCATTTGCTGTACTGGAATCAAACAAGGATTAAACCAGCAAAGTTTCTGACATGCAGGTTAGTATTCTCATCTTGGTACTTTTTGACTGTATTAAAAATACACTAAGTGACTTTGGTAAATGGAAAATACTAAAATCAATGATGCAAAAAATACTAATTACAGACTGATAAATATGATTGAAATTTATAAAGGGAAACACATCCAGTAGAAGGATATATTGTAAATACTTTTTTTTAAGGTATATAAACACTCCTGACGATCTATTTTCTGTTTTTTTTGTTCTGTCATGTTCATTAGTTTTTCTTATTCTATTTCTGCATACCCATTCCATGTATTACTTTCAGTCACATTACTCTTCATTCCTCTGTAAACTCCCAATCCTTATTAGAGATTAGAAATCCTCATGTGCCAATTTAGTAGGACAGACTTCGGTAACAATAGGAAGCTGAGAAGAGAGGCAGAGCTTGGGGGTTTCTTGGTTTTCCTCCCACTGTGCAGTGGTGGAATCTGCTGGATGTTGACCTGACGTATATCAACAAATAACATTTCCAAATAGCAAATCCTTGATTTTTTTTTCTGCTTTTTTAAGACATAAAGAGACTTTCCAACATCTGTCCAGGATAATAATGACATTTTAAGAGGCAACAGTCCAATGCTTTCAACTTGAATGACATCAGTGATGGCTCCAATCCAGGTTATCCAAGGAAAGATAAGAAAGATAAAAATTAAAGTCTTTCATCAGCTTAATTCTCTTGCATTTCTACCTTAGAACTTAGCTCTAAATTCCTATTCATGTTTTTGAAAGCACGCGCTGACAAATTAGTGTTACTGTGTTCATACCTTTTGATTTTTAAAAGAACCAAATTCATCACTTGATCTCAGAGCCTATTGCTACAAGCAATATTGTTTTCCAGCTGAGCCACAGCTAACATGGATTTTATTCTTTTTGTGTCTCTTTTATCACTTTAGTGTGCTCTTCCATGTGTTGCAAAGTACAGATGGTGAAATGCTTTGGGTCATGCAACATTGTCAGTTAATTCTTTTGTGAGCTGTGGTGCCAGCTAATCCTCGTATTTCAATTTCTGGTGTGTTCTGTGCAATCACTTTTTTGTTGTTTATTCATTATGCCTGAAATAAAGAATGGCTGATAACAGCAAAAGTCAAAGGGATTTAGTCAGGTTGTTCTTCCACAGATATCCATGCACTTAATTGGCACCACTGATACAGAAAAGATTAACAAAAAGGAAAAATTTACCCACTGTTTTACACAATAATAATGTCTTTAGAAATATGAGAAATAAAGCTACATCAGACAGCTACAGAATGTACAGAAGAGTACATGCCCCAAACAGATGCTCAAATGTACTTGGTGGGTATTACAATACAAAGAAAATAGGGAAAGAAGGAGTGAGGCAAACAACATTAATAGAGATGACAGATGTCGGAAATGTAGGTACATGGTATTGCAGTAATTGTTCTAAAGTACTCGTTTGGCCCAAGATTAACTGTATGAAGAGTATTAATCTGGGGGGAAGAAGATGAGGAGGGAACTGTTCATATTACTTAATTGCAGCACTGGTGAAGTAACCCAATTAGAATAAAACCATAAGATTACTGGCTGCACCCAGATACTGTGCTTTCCAAACCATAGCTTGATAATGAAAGGTGAGTTCTATGTATTTCAAAGGCATAGCCATACAGAAGCTGAGCTTTTTCCACAATGTACAGTGTCATCTTTTGCTATCTTTTGCTACTAAATGTGGTGGGCAGTGGGTGGTGTTGAATCAGGGTATTTCTCCCAACACTGGTTAGGTCAATCCAAACAGCTTGCTCCTACTGAGATGAGGTTGTGTTTCTT